AAAAATATTTTGAATGGAAAGTTAATTTTGGATCAGCACATTGTGAAAATTTCTGCCAACTCTACTTACAGTCTCTCAGCACTCTGAGAAAGTGCTGCCAAGTTTAGTAACAAAATGAGCTGATTGTTGACAGACCAATTTCTGACTATGGGGGAATGGAGGTTGGTAGGAGTGGGAGCAGATAACCTCTTAAGAATCTTTTTTTATAGCCACCTTCTTAAAATCTCTTTTTAAAAACCCCCCAAATGGGCATTTGACATTTTTTGGTTGTTAGCAAAGGTGAGAATTGGACTATTCTGATTCTGAATAGTTCTTAGTTCCACAGAGCCTGCAGCAAAAGGCTTAAGCTTAAGCTTAAGCTTTAAAGATTCTGACATTTGTTTTGATCACTTAAAATGATTGATGCTTTACAGTCCTTTCACTTTCAAACTCACTCTTTCTTACCTCAGTTTCTTCATGTCAGCAATGTTGTTCAGGGCAGAAGAGAAATATTTAATTGCTGCTGCTGTTAAACAGTTGAGAATTAGAAAAGCTTACCAATCTATTGCAGATCTCCTAGATCTCTCCCAGATCTATTGCAGTAAATTCACATCTATATTTTGGCTTTTTCTGCTCTAATGGTATGTATGTTGTGGGGTAGGGGGTGAACTAAATAAACATAACAGGATTTCATTCCACGTAGCATCCTGGTTTGCAGGTAGAACCAATAATTGATTATAAAGCGGTATTGCAGCCTAATTCTTCCCACAGTCTGGAGTTCAATTTGGGCAGGCTCAAAGTTGATTCAGCCTTTTATCTTTCCAAGATCAGTAAAATGAAAACCCAGATTGTTGGGGCAACATGCTGACTCTGTAAACTGCTCAGAGAGGGCTGTAAAGCACTTTGGAGCAATATATAAATGATATTGCTATTGTTAACTTATTTATTAAATTTTAATGCCACCCATCTCACTATGAAAGCAACTGGGTGACCTACAACACAATATTATATATGATTGTTCTTGGTTTATATACGCAAAAGTACTGCAGGTATCTTAGAGGCTGTTGGCTTGCAGGTCACTATCAAGTATCAATTTTTCTCTGGACTGGCTGTCCTGACCCAAAACATATATAACTGCTCTTCCGATCCTGAGCATATTTCATAAAATTCCCTATCTTGCATTACCAAAGAAGATATTCAGTTTTTTGAAACTATCCATGAATAGAGTTTTATTGCAGATTATTAAACTGATATGTAAAGTATAACAACATGATAACTGTTGAATTGAATGTGACCAGGGTGGTTTTCGATTTTTTTCTTAACTTTCCCAATGTAGCATTTTCTAATGGCTTTCCCATCCAAGTATTACCCAGTTGTAACTGTTACCAGACTTTACTTAACTTTTTAAGATCAGTCAGGGCTAGCTAATAATATAGTATTAGCTAATATTTTGGAAGACATATTTCCGAATGAGAAATCTTTATAAGGCTGAAGTGCAGAACATAATGGCTCCATTGTGGAATATAATTATCATTCTGTGTCCAAGTGTATATTGAGTACTTTCCTTACTGAAACAAGCATGTGGCCTGAAGCACAGCATACCATCAATGAATGTTAAAAAAACAGTTGGCATATTTCACTCAATGCTTTTATACAGAACATCTCATTTTCCACATGTTTTCTTTTTCCAAGCACTAGACCATCAAAAGCTTTCTACTGTCAGTTCTGAGGTGGGGCCCGTTTGCATAAATAAATCTAGTGCATTGCATTGATAGGTTTTTGCTCAAGAAATAAAAACAAGGCATCTTACTTAAAATCTTTTGCCTGCATTTCTTTTCTAGGGGGAAAGTAAAGGCTGTCAGTTTCTTGTTGTCGCCTTATTCAGGAAATCAAGATTCTTTCAAATGCTTACAAAGTGAGAACACAAAACAATTAAGCACCATTATTGAAAAGGACATGTGAACTGGCCGACTTTTTAGAAGAGACCTGTGCAGATTTGGGGAATAAACTATCTTGATGTAGCCCAAGGGTTGGGTTATTTCATGCAAAGTACTTTGGCAAATACCTTCAGAGAATCACCCAAGCAAATAATGTTTCAGATCACTGGCTGACTTTTCTACCAGAAGACAAGAAAACATCTGACAGACACTATCAGGACAGCTTTTGCATCCATGCTAAAAAAATATCCAGTTAGTTAAAGGACTGCATTAAACAGCATTTAATTAGAATAACAGTTTCCTCTCTAGCTTTTTTTTTTAAGTGCTTAGTTCTTCCATCTAACATTCATCATAAATATTGACATATTAAAATAATATTGTTTATTAAGCTATATATTTTAATTAACAGTAGATGCAACAAAAAAGTAAAATGCACAAAAATTATATGGAATAAAACCATTGGTTTCACAAATATATTCATGTTATTCTATTCAAAACATTTACGCAGGAAAAAAATGGAAAATGAACTATTTATGATATGTGCATAATGGGAAACCTTGCAGAGAAAATACATGTCTTTCTAGCATTGTTAGATTTATTTATTTTTGCAATCATAAAAATATGCCATATACTTTTCTTTTGTGCTCCATTGGTTTCCAAATAATTGGTATGTAATTGAAGAGATACAAACGGCATAAATACAGTATGTGAATAAAATAACATTATTTTATTTTTCTTGCTTTGTATTCTTACCGGTAAGTATCTTATCCAGAAGATGCAACGGACATGCTCCCTATTTCAGGGAATAAAAATTTGGATATTTTGCCCATTAAATCCGAAGTCATCTAACTTGGAGGCTGTTAATTCAATGTTTTACTGTATTGGTGTTATTGTTAGTAGTATTAATAGCAGTATTCAATTTGATGACTAGTCATTCTATTCCCTTGTTTCATGACTGACTGTACCCTTTATCTGATTTTAAGCAATTTTAGACTATTTGTAAACCAGAACTATAGTTTTATTATTTTGTAAACAGTATGGTTAATAAAACTGTAAAGATGCAAATCATCCTTCCTCAGATTGATAATCTTGATTTAGCTTTAATGTTATTTAGATTTCTAGTCTGTATCTCAAAGGAATTTCATTTAGCACTTCAAGGGAGTATACCTGGTATTCTCTCACCCAATATTCTTCCTCAACAATAAACTTGCAAGGTAGCATTGGCTTTGAAAATAGTACAAAGTTGTCCAGGAAGTTTCCAGGCTGAATGTGAAGTTAAGGTGAGTCTTAGTGGTCCCAGTTTAATATACCCATCCCCTCATTCACAAAAGTCACAGGATTATTCTTAGAAAATAACTAGAGTGTCTAGAAAAAAACACAGAAGTGGTGGAAAGCATCCTGACTTGTGAAAAGGGTGGCAGGAAACAATCTCATTGATTTGTCTTCTGGTAAATATATATTTTGCTATTATTTTTATCAGCCTCAGCAGATGTTTTGTGAAAGTGTCCATATCACAGACAAAAATTGACTTGACCATTGGCGCGCTAATTCTTACTGATTTAATTACATCTAAAGCTGTCGATATTATAAGGATTTGTATTTCATGGCAGGCAACATTCTAGCCAAGTATTAGAAATATAAACAATGCTACAGATCTCCTTTTTATTTTGAACCTTGCCCAGTCATGTGTACTGCTTTTAAACCTCTATTTTCAAAATGTGGAAATAAGAGCTATGTCGTCCATGATCTGAGTTGATTGATATGTGCATTAATTGGCTTATGTGATCATTATGCTATTAGCAAGAAAACAAAAACAGCTTCCATGAATAATTACAGTTTCAATGTACTCAGAATATCAATGACTAGTGTTGTCCAAAAGTGGTATTCAACAGGTTCTGACCAGATTTGGAGAACCAGTAGCAGAAATTTTGAATAGTTCACAGAACACTGGCCCTGTTCCCATCTATTCTCTGCCTCCCAAGTCCCAGCTGATCGGGAGGGAATGGGGATTTTGCAATGACCTTCCCCTGGAGTGGGGAGGGAATAGAGATTTTATAGTATCCTTCCCCTGCCATGTCCACCAAGCCACGCCCACCAAGCCATGCCATTCCCAACAAGCCACACCTGCAGAACCGGTAGTAAAAAAATTTGAATCCCACCACTGGTGTTGCCTGATAATAGGTTGAAAATGTATGGCCATAACAGACTTCTTGTCTCAGAACTACACTTGGTTTCATCATTTAGTCTCCAGATAGAACATCCAGGATGTTTCAAGGACAGGTAGAAAAGGTTACATTATACTTAGCTTTTATTTAAGCAACATGGCTGATTGATACAAGAAGATGTAGCCTCCTATGTTAGCCTTTGTTTGGTCACTCAAAATACTAGTCATCACTAGCAGTGTTCCTTGGAACAGTTCATTGTCCATATATCTCTCCCCCATGTAGACTACACATATCAGTAGGCAAAACTGCACATCAGTGCATCAGATAAATATCTTTTTCTAAATCACATTTATTTTCACAACAATAAAAAAGAGGCTAGTTTAATATCGCATATAAAACATTTATTGCCCAAATAGAAAAACCATAAATCATGAAAACACATTTATAATGATGGCCATACAAAGAAACATCTCAAATTACTAGATAACAAATCTGGTTGGGAAGCATATTCCTCCCTTAATCAGCTGTAGACGACAGCCACGGTTGTGGACCAGTGCTTTGATTTTATTTTTAGTGATGGAGGGTTAAATAAGGAAGTCATAAAGCTATTAATAAATTCAAAAACATTTCATCCATTTTCAGTGAAAAGATTTTTTTTTTGTAGTTCCATGATGTCTTCCTTCTGCTCTTATTTCTGTCAATGATGAAGATATTGTCAGATTAATTAGAGCAGTGTTTCTCAACCTTGGCAACTTGAAGATGTCTGGACTTCAACTCCCAGAATTCCCCAGCCAGCATTAGCTGGCTGAGGAATTCTGGGACTTGAAGTCCAGACATCTTCAAGTTGCCAAGGTTGAGAAACACTGAATTAGAGGGCTAGGGAAACCTGTAGCTGCAGGCTAAACTATTTTTCTTCCCAAACTCTAAATAAAGAAGGTGCCTTATCCTTTATTTATGTATATCTTGGAGTGTGCGGACGTAAGAGGAGGAGAGGACAGAGGCATCTGCAATAAGATGGGATTTCATCACAATTATGAAATATGAATCATTAAGTCATAACATAAGTAAAAAATAGGGTTTGAAATTTGCACAGAGTTCTTGGAATGCATGTTTCCTAACTGACTTACTTTGGTCAATGTCTTTAGGTGAAAATATTGTACAATACAAATATTGTCGCTCAGGACTGAGGGACAGACCATTTCTTCTGTTCCAAAATGAATATCAGGGCCTACACAGACAAAACAGTTATATCCACACTAAACAAAGATAGCAACTTCTGGAGGACTTTGAAACCATATGTGAATATAAAACTACAAATAAATGGGAGACATATTGTTCAGAGGCCAGGAATGGGGAACAGTTGAACTTGTTCATATGAATTGTTGTGTTAACTGACTTCAACAATGTTTTTTTGCAATATAACATATCAGAGAAAAAACACTACAAAATATGCTGACTGGCTCTCCCATGTCATAGATGAGGTAAAGTTATACTCATACATAAGACAAGTCAATACTATGACCATAATAATATTGACATTTGTTTTGTTATTGCTACCAGTGAAACAAAGACATGTCAATCTTAAAACACATACTAGATCACTGGACGTTGCATAAAGGTTCCAAGGGGACAACAATGAAACATAATAACATAGGACACAGAAATACTCTAATGTGAACATTAAAACAGGTTACAAAAATTAGATCTGTTATTCCTGATCTGTGGTGTCTCTGCAGCTGGCCTGTGTCTTCTTTGTATGAAATTGTATGGATTTTGGTTTGGCTGCTGGTCACCATGGAGACTTGCATAGGTCTCTGCATCAAGCAGTTTGTCTGTAAAGACATGTATGTTACTTTGGTGATAAGCCTTTAAGAACATGGGCCCAGTGGCAATAGTTACTGTACGTCATGAGCCACCTTATGTTTAGAAATTGGGTTGAGTTTAAAACTATAGTTTAAACTTTAAACTTTATAGTACATTATAGCTAAACCATCTGCTGCGTAGCACAGTGCTCTGATTCCAACAGAGACATGTTACATGAGAGGATGTCTCCCCAAATTTTTCTTTCTTAAAGAATCATAGACAATCACATACAGTACAATTGATGGCCTCATGTGCTCTGTTATAAATACTTAGAAAGGATTCTCAGAGCTTCAATAATGTAAAGGTAAAGGTTCCCCTGCACATACATGCTAGTCGTTTCTGGCTCTAGGGATGGTACTCATTTCCATTTCTAAGCCGAAGAGCCAGCGTTGTCCGAAGAAATCTCCGTGGTCATGTGGCCAGCATGACTCAATGCCAAAGGTGCATGGAGTGCTGTTACCTTCCCACCAAAGTGGTCCCTATTTTTTTACTTGCATTTTTACATGCTTTTGAACTGCTAGGTTAGCAGAAGCTGGGAAAAGGAACGGAAGCTCTCCCCATTACGTGGTGCTAGGGATTCGAACTGCTGAACTGCCAACCTTCTGATCGTCAAGCTCAGCGTCTTATCTACTGAGCCACCGCATCCCAGAGCTTCAATAGAAGTTGCCAAATGCAATGTTTCAATGTTACACAAAGAAAACCAATATTACATACATAAGAAGTGACTATTTAATTATATTCAGTTATTTTACTTAAGCTTATGGTTAGATTACATCAAAACATTTTAGTCCTATTTTTTTAAAGCAGTGTTTCTCAACTTCAGCAATTTTAAGAAGTATGGACTTCAACTCCCTGAATTCCAACCTGGTAACAGCAAAATCCAATAAATATTTAAATCATAATTCAGTTGATACAAAACAATTGCATTCCTAATGCACAACCCCAAGACTAAGTTTTGAAGGGGACCTGAGAATGAACATGATTAGAAAACTATAAGTCAGAGAAACTAATTTTCCTCTTATTCACAATTCACCATTATCCCAACCGTGCTTTTTCAAGTGGCAACTGGACTTTCTGGTTATTCTTTGAAGATGTTTCACTTCTCATCCAAGAAGCTTTTTCAGCTCTGGCTGGATTTGAAGAATGGAAGGATTTATTCTCCTTGCAGACAGCTGGTCATTTGCATTCTTTTAGTAAGTCATTAAGGCCACCTGGAGGTTTATCTGTGTCATCAGGGTCACCTGAGTAAGGCAAATGGGTTTGAGCTTCTTAGATGAAACATCTTCAAAGAAAAACCAGAAAGTCCAGTTGCCACATGAAAAAGCACCTTTGGGACAGTCATGACCTGGATGACTGGGAATCTGCATGGACAAATTCACCATTACCTTAATTCCATTTCTCCTCCTGGTTCACTCTCTTGAATAGAGGGTAATGTGAGAACCTGTTGCAGAAATGTAAGCATTCTGCTGCCATTGGATGATTATAAGACACAGAATGGTGGGGAAATGGATATTATGTCCTTTAGTGAAGAGGAAATGGAAATGAATGACTTTATGGTCCTAAACTCATTAGTGTACCTTTCATCTTATTACCTGTTAAATCCTTTGCTCTTGATTCATGCCTTCCTTTAACATTGGTGTGGTTTTCTATGGGTCTATCTGCGTATTTCATTGGTACGATAGGAGGCAATTCCTTGTCTGAATTCAGTGGGACATCTTTAAAGAAAAGACAAAAAGAAATGCTAGAAAATGTGCGGTTTGAAATTGTCCATTTCAGACAGTCATGCTCTCCACAAGGAGAACATTCCCATTATCCTGTCAGTATCCCAAGGCCAATGAGCTTGCATTGTATAGAATTCAAATGTCCCCTGTCATCTTTACAACTCCTGAGATTACCTCCTAAACTAGCTAATACTTTCATTTGATACATGAGTGGTACAGTCTTGGATACATAAACCATGGCATCAGAATTTGGATAACAGAAAGAGAAAACAAATAAAATAATACATTTCTTTTCATTTCCTGTACCTTGTGAGAAAGAGTTTTGCATGCCATCAGCCGTGCAATCTTGAGACAATTGAGAAGTTTCGTGGTTGAGGCCAGCATCTTCTCTTGGTCTTCCCATGATCTCATTCTCAGTTGCAATTGTATTTTGGACCAGAAAATAAGTGTGCATTTTTCCTTTGCCCTTTACATCAATTTCTCCTCTTTCCTTAATATCAAAATTATTTTCTTTGAGGCATCTGAAACATAAAAGTAGTAACGGATAATGTTTGTTGTTTTTTACTACAATAAATCAGTAATCAAACTTTCTGCAAATAGTTTGATAGAAAATACTATAGTTTTATGGAAATCGAAAAGTTCTATGAAATAGCTTTTTACACATACATACACACACACCATATTATTCCAGAAATTTTAGATCTTAATGTTTTGTCTTTACTAAAGCAATGGCAATAGTGACAATCACCATTACTACACAACTGATCATTGGTAAAACTGATACAGTAATATCTGCTATAATTCCAGGTGCAAGAAATTAATCTGAAAAATAGAGAGAAGCTTTTACAGTTATAACGTTTCTGCCTATCCTGCCAAGACCACACACCTTCAACACCAGTACTTCAGTATTAGGAACCTAGCATACTGTTGTGAATCACTATGAATGTTTTAAATTGTAAAATGGAATGTGATATACAGAAATCTCATTTTGATAGACGTTGAGATACGGCTGCCAGAAAAGTAACAGGAAAAGAAGTGAAGGAGAAACAAGGCAGCAAAACCTAATAGTAGCAAAAAGACTTACCCAGATGCATTTATGTGGCAGGGGGAAGAGTTAAACCAAGATGTAAAAGACAGGTGAAGTTTGCAGAAATGGCTAAATTGATTTGTTTGATCAAGGAAGGAATTATTTTTATAAAAGCCTTCATAGGTGTGTGGTTTTTTGTTTGTTTTTTGCTAAAAATGGCTAAATGGAAAAGTTGATTTGGAGATTTACTGATTAGAAATATTTGTTAATGGGAAGAAGAGAACAATTATATTCAGTATGGAAGGGTGGAGATGTAACTACTCCAAAAAAGTGACTTCTTTAGATATCTTTCTTTTTCTTTCTTTTTTGTTATTCCAACAATTCTTTTATTCTTTTATAATCTTTTCCTATTTCGCCTTCTATATTTCTATAACTTTTAAAATCTTTGTTAAAACTTCTTTCAGTATAATTAAAAAAAAACAACAACAGAGAAACAAGATAGCAAAACTTAACAAAAAGTATTTCAAGGCAGAATTGGTTAAGGAATCAAACAGTGGCTTTCAAAAAAATAGGTTAATAGCAATAGCACTTAGTCTTATATACCACTTCACAGTGTTTTACAGCCCTTTCTAAGGTTTACAGAGTCAGCATATTGCCCCCAACAATCTGGGTCCTCATTTTACCCGCCTCAGAAGGATGGAAACCTGAGTCAACCTTGAGCCTGGTGAGATTTGAACTGCTATACTGCAGGCTGGTGGCAGGCAGCAGAAATACCTTGCAGTACTGCATTCTAACCACTACACCACCATATCTCTTAATATCATGGTACAGAATGTACATTGATCAAATTCGTATAGATTGCATTATTATATTAATGATGTAATACAATTGAGGGGTGGCTTTTTATTTAATTTAAGCTAGAATGTTACTACAGAGACTTCCATTGGTGTATTCCATAAATATTTGACACCATCAAAAACTTGCTATCAATCCAACAAGCAAGGAGATGATGTTTTATCATTTCCTACCCAAGAAATGGTACAATATAGCAATTGCCTATCCTTGTTGTGAATTTTGGGAATCAAAATAGAACTCATCTGAAGTTTCTCTACTTGGGAAATAAGCCCACTGAACTGAACAGAATGACTCTGAACAGATTTGTATATAGTTATACTCATGTGCTCACTCATTCTTGTTGGGAGAATCTTTGTATCACCATATTACTCTCGGTCTTATGTTTTTAATGTCACAATAAATTCAGCAGAATGTAATTTTAGTATTAGTTTCCAGAATTACTATACCAAATTAAAAAATAAAATGCATTTTTTTCTTTAGATTAATGCTATTTAAAAGTTAGGAAAACAGAAATTGTTTTTTTTTTAAAGCCTCAAAGAATTTTGAAGAAGCCTTTAAAAGAGAGAAGAGAAGAGGAGAGTTGAGTTTTGTTTATAATTCTGTTTTATTGAAACACGGGAGCAAGAGAATTATTCTATTCTTTGGACAAGTACAAGGAATTAAATCTAGACAGTTAAAAGGTGAATACACCTTATTTTAAAATGAATTATTCTTCATTTCTTTAAAGACAATTTAAAACTTTTATAAAACACTCCATAAAAGAATGTATATTATCCCTAATCCAAACTATATAACTATAAAACCATTTCCCCCAATCCAATCCAATCCATAAAACAATGGTTTAAGAACAATAACATTACTCACTGATAAACACTGCCACTGAGGTGGATTTTGTTTGGCACTCCATGACTTTCCATCCGGGATGCTATATTCACTGTATCTCCAAACAAACAGTAACGTGGCATTTTTTCTCCAACAACCCCTGCAAGGACAGACCCTGTGTGGATCCCAACCCTAATCTGAACAAGAGTTCAAAATAATAATTAAACAAAAAACACAAACAAACAAACAAACAACTTACTGCTGAATCTATTTGCTCTTTTTAAAAAAATCACAGAATCATAGGGCTGGAAGTGACCTTGGACGTCTTTTAATCCAACCCCTGTTCAAGGCAAGAAACTTTATACCATCCTGGTCAAATGGCTGTCCAGTCTATTCTTGAAAATCTCCAGCAATCGAGCACCCACAACTCTAGGAGGCAATCTATTCCATTGATTAATTGTTCTCACTGTCAGGAAGTTTCTCTTTAGGTATAGGTTGGAACTCTCTTTAACAAGCTTCAACCCATTACTTCTCATCAGGTACTTTGGAGAAGAAATTGATTCTCCCTACCACCACCAACAGCCTCACAAGTACCCCAAAACAGCTATAATGTTACCCCAATCCTTCTCTTCAATAGGTTAAATCTACCTAGTTACCTTAATTGTTCATCATATGGTTAACCTCCAGACCCTTTATTATCTTTATTGCTCTTCTCTGTAGTCTTTCTGGGGTCTCAGCTCTTTTTTTCCTATATCATGGTGACCAGAACTGGGCACAGTAGTCTAGGGATGGCCTCACTGATGCTATACAAAGTGATACTATCACTTCTCATGATTTTAATGCTATCTCTCTGTTGATGCTGTCTTAATTTAAACAAAAATCATGTCTTTTTTCTACTCACTTGAATAGGATTTTCAGAAACAGGGTTTTTAATGTCTTTGGCTGCTATGATCATTCCAAGGGCAAAGTTGGCAACCCGTTCAGCGTGGGTTGATACAGGGACAGGGACACCCCCTACAACCATGTAGGCATCGCCTATGGTTTCAACCTAAACAAAACAAATAAACAGACAGCATCTTTTATTTCAAAAGACCATGTTGAGTTTCATTAAATATATTGTTCACAGCTAGATTGAAGATGGAACTTCTCAGAGTTTCTCTTTCTACAAATGGAAAGAAAAAGATTGCTGTAGAGGTTCTCTCACAATTTGCAAGTGACGTGTCATGTAGCAAGATGAAACTTCCTGGCATTGCAAAAGGAGACATAGACTTTATTTGTTCTCTTGCATTTTTTTAATATGATATTTTATCAGCATGGAATTTTCACATTTTAAATATGAATTATCTCACTGTGCATTAGTGTTTTACTGAAAAATTACGTAAGTATGTTAATAAATGTTGGGAATCCTTGGTTCTCTCTGAGCTTGGTTGCTTGTCTGGTGTTAATCCCTGATTGTCTAGCTGTTGGTTGCCAGAGAGGATTGTTTACTACCTTTTTTATTGTCCCTTTTGAATGGTGTATAAATGTGGTTTATCTCTTATTTATTTTATTAGTATACAAACAATCAAGCAGAAAATAACATCCTAATCAAGAAACTACCAACAAGAAGTTCTCACCAACACTGACAGCGGTCTGTCTAATTTGTTTACTTGTGCAGACACTTTATATTTTAATTTATGCTTTACTTTTCAGAGATTGTTGGGAGCCTGTAAGCAAATTCAGAACTCTGATGATCTTCTGATAAATCAGATTAGAGTTACAAAGGAGCTATTTTTGAGATCTCTATTCCTTTCACCCCACAATATCACTTTCAGGATATCAATTGAAAATACCTTGTAGACATCATGTACTGTGGTTAACCTGTCAAATCGTAGATACATTGTATTTAACATGAGCACTATCTGAATAGGCTCACACTGGGCGCAAATGTTGGTAAAAGTCACAACATCACTGAATAATATAGTACATTCTTTGAATTCTCCTAGAGTTAAAGAGGAAAAAGAAGACAGGGGAGTTTTAGAAATCATGTCTAGTTTCATAATTAAATCAATTACAAAACCTACCTACTGCATAAATGTATTAATATACTTAGTATTTTAGTATATATTTATAAAATATTAATTGTAAAATGTTTTTTTTCCAAAATATATTAATCCAGCTTCTTTATTACATTGAAAATAGAATCAGCCAATAAAATGGGCAAGTGATAAAATTCATAAAGATGGGGGGGGGGATTCAAAGTACTGTGTTATATTAAGATCTTTTGTAACTAATGCTCCAATAGATTCAACATAAAAAAATACCAGCTTTACAAAAAAAGATATGCATTCCATAAGAAAGCCTAAATATATTACATCAATTGTAATTTGCTGGAAATGTTAAATAAGGCTTTTAACTCCCACTGTGTGAAGTTCGAAGTGACAGAAAGTAGTATTCTTAGAGTGAAGGCCATAAGATTTTAAAACAAAAATTACTGGAAGGAAAAATAAATCAGTACTGAGATGGAATCAATATATCAAATTTCTTTGATAGCAGTGTATTTGGGGAGAGAGGAGAGGACTTAAGATAGCTTTACTCAAGGCCAGAGGTGGGTTGCAAATATATTTACTACCACTCCCTCACACGTGCAACGCTTCTGTGCATGCAAAGAAGCGTCGGGGTGAGTGGGCGGGGCCTCTCGCCACTGCTAATACTGGTTTGGCCGAACTGAGGAGCAACTCACCACTGCTCAAGGCCCATAGATTTTGAAGATGAAAGCATTTCTGTGCTGATTGTAAATTGTCCTTAAATGTCAACCACTGATTCCAAGCAACAGATCCCATAGTAATTACTGATCACAGTCTTGAACGTATCTAAACTTGTCTCTATCTCATTGCATTCACCTGCCTCAACTCGTTTCCCCTCTTTGAGCTGGTTGGCAACATGTTTAGGCAGCATGGCATACAGGAGGGCTTCTGTTTTCTTCCTTTCTTCCTCCAGGTGTTTAGACAGGATCCGCAGCTCCTCTTTTTTCCTCTCCAGTTGATTGGAGAGCTCCATCTCAGCCAACCGCTGTTGGTTGAGCAAGATCAAATCTCTAGTGACATCATGGGGAGCTATGTCCGAAATGTGCATGTGTCTTTCCTCCAACTCATGCAATGTACGCAGCAGAGGGGAACAAAGGTACAGCATGCACTGAACAGACTCCATCCAGATCATCTGCCCTGGTTCGAACAAATGAATAATGATGGGCAGGAATTAAATATTGAATATATTAAATTCTTCCCAATATGACCCACCCAGAACCCAAAACAACCACAACCCATCTACTGGGAAGGCAATCAAAGGCCAAGGCAAAACTGTCATATAATGACCATAATATTCTTTCCAACAGCCCCCCAAATTTAGGCAGAGACACCAAATTGCCACTGATATGTAAGGTGCCTTCGTGCAAAAAGATTTTTTCCATCAAAAGACTAAGTTACATGGCAGCTATGGCTTCCTGGCACTTCATTCTTACTTTTTTTTCTATAATGCATGTGCAAATGCACAGAATACTCACTGGATGGGCATTTTCCCATCTTTCAATGGGGCACCAGGCTACTATCAGTTTCACAATTTGCCACCCCTGGGACATGGTTATTTTCTGCATGTACAATTTGCATACTTGCTAGTGGCAGCCATGCATCAACATAATGTGTGCCATTGATCTATATTCTTATCAGAAAACCCAATCAGAGTTTGCCTATGGAAAAAGGATCAGGAAGGAGGCCAGATTCTCCATAATATAAAATGTTTGTGTTCAGAGATTTTATATTTTATGGAGAAGCCTCTACCATTTATAATAAAGCAACTCAGCCTATGGAAACAGAAGTGTAACTTTCCTCATGACACAGTTATCTCTTCAACGTGTTATTGCCTAATAGCTATCGAGAAATGGGAAAACTACCTCTTAGTTCTAACATAGGACGCTGCTTCCAAGAGTCCGGCATCATTTCTCTCTTGGTCCGGAAAACAAATTGGCTGTTGATAAATCTCTGAACACTGGAGATGGTAAATTTCACTTCAGGGCGTACAATAGTGAAGTACTGATTGAGACGAATGCCCAATATTTGAAGGCCAGGTACAATCTTTTGAATGCTAACCCCAGCTTGCTTCACTCTGAGCTTTAAAAAGAAAAGAAAACAGGATTCTTACTTATACTTTCCCTATTTTCATTCCACTGTCAATAGAATTTCATTTTATAAACCTTACATGTAGCTTTCTATAATTGTTAGTAATAAATTTTGGATAAATTGTCCAAAACTGCTGGATTGTATTATCAGTGTTATCATTGCCATCTTCATCATTACATCCAATCCAGTCTACAACCAAAGGACTCATTTCTTCCTTGAATCCCTACAGAAGAGATGAGCCAGTGGGCAGACCTAATTAACTGCTCTATATGCATGTTGCCTAGCAGCAGGCAGAACTAAAGATGTTTGTGCAGGGCTTCTTCCATAGTCAATTGCAGGACAGGCAAACATAAAGCAAATAACAGGTTCATCATGACATCATCACAGTAATGATGCAACATATGTGCTTGCATCAAGCATCATAAAGCAAATACATGACAGATTTGAAGATGTCAGGATACATGTAATATATTGATGTCTTGATACTTTGTTATGCATGTCTAATGCCCTTCTGTGCATATATTTAAAAAATTACGATTGCTGTTTTAGGATATTGTGTGCTATAGATAATTTGTGTAGATAAACATATTTTCTTTATTGTGATATCAGATTCTGTTTGAATCTGTTCTCCCTGTTTTGAATCTGCTGCTTGGTTTATTACTGTGTGAAATAAAGTCTGCCTACTTTGAATTTAAGGGATCCAACCTGCTTACACATATATTCTTGTAATGAAAATAGCTCTACAACTGTTTTCTTAATTTTTCCTTCATTCTATAAGTGTTTTCTTAACCTTTCTCCATCCTTTATCTTGCATTCTGCAAGACCACATCACCATGTTATGCATAACTATTAAGTTGCATTAATGTGGTAAAATGTAAACTAGACACATGTATGTATGTATGTATGTATGTATGTATGTATGTATGTATGTATGTATGT